AGTGAAGAAACCCACAGACTGCCCACACAGCATACCCAATATTGAACCTGGACACATGGCCACTCCATCCCTGGGAAGCCATTAGGGTTGGAATGCCTACTGATGTTATCTCTAGAGTCGTTGGCCAGGGTATTGTGTCTGCTGCCTCTGTAAGGCAGGAGAGCATAGACAGCCCGTAGCTGACCAATGGAAGGGCTGGGCTATATGTCTATGAGTGAGTTGTCCCTTCCCTTTTCCACCTGTTTGCTTGACCACTTGGAACGTCATCATCTCCCTGTGGTCCGCTGCACCCAGCAGTGCCTTCCATGAGGCGGTGAATGAGCAGAAGTCGCTCTGTGTTGTCCTTGTGCGGCCACCAGATGCATGCCCGGCCTCTGTTGTTCCTGCTGATAATCGCCCCTAGGACCTGTCAGCTCCACTACAGGGGTCTAGACTCAAGGTGGCTTTTAATTTAAATACAGGTACACCTCATACCTGGTGAGTTCCCCAAATTTTATTAGATATAATTTTCTGCATTTGTGCAATAGGAACAAATTCTATTGAGGATGGATGGCCATGTGTGTTCAGTTCCAGGCCAGGCAACAGGCACATATTGGGCTCATAACAGTTGGTCAGTGCCTCTTTTCCAAACTGGAAGACACGTCCATGAGAAGCAAAGGGTGGTGTGACTGTGTGTCGCACAGAGAAGTCCATGGGTGTGCCAGCATAAAGTGCGGGATGTCATCAACTGTCCCCATTCCATGATAGGCAGAATGGGCCCTTTGTCTGTGTCGTAAACTGAGGGCAAGCAAGTTCAAGGGCTTTTCCAGAGAGACTGAAGTGGGTATCTAGTGTTCCCCCTTGAGGAAGCCCCTCTGACCAGCTCCTGGCAAGATGGAGCCTGATCTGTATAAAGACACAAGCATCTCCGTGTTCTCCTGAAACCATAGGGCATTTGTTCTAAACAATGCAGTGGATAAATATCGGTGTTAGACAGTGAGCCCCTGCTGAGGGAGCAGCGACTCTACAGTCACCCATTTTTATTTTCATGCTTGTAAGAAGGAAATCCAGCCAACTAAGAACACATTATGTGTCTTTTTTGATTCCTTAGCTCTCGTCTCTGCTCTAAGTCCAGAACTATTGCTCAAGTGGATCCCCAGTGGCTATTGGATAAATCCATGTATATGGGACAGTGAAGGAACCTTGGTCTTTCAATAACTCCTCTCCCAGGGGAATAATGCATTGGTCCCCATAACCCATTTCTTCTTCTCACCCATCCAGAAACTTAAACTTTTAAAGAATTCTCTGCCCCAGCATCTTGTGGTATAGGCCAGAAGAAGTGGATTTTTGCAAGTTTGGATGCATTTGATTGCCAAGAAAAAAAAAACTCAACTGTGGTGACATAACCAATTACAGTAGTCAGATTTTTTTCGCTGTGGGTTGAAAATGCTGTCATTTCTGTAGCCGACAGAAGTAAATGGTAGGGATTATGTTGGTGGCTAAAAGTGAGTGTCACACCCCATTCCAGGGGTCTTGGACCCTAGGATATCATTTCCTCTACTTTCAAAATCATGGTGTGCAGGGCGCCATGAAAACTACAGTCTACCTGCTAATGTTTTCCTTCCAGCTCTGGGGTCAGTGGTTGTTTCTATTTGTACTAAATCAGAGACCTGGGCTGCACCTAGTGGAGACAGTGGACATATGCACTTGAACTACCCTGTGAGATCCAGCTACCCACAGCAGGCACACATGCCCAACAGTGACTTGAGTATTATGCCACCAGCTCAGGAATTTGATCTCTCTCAGGAGGGGGCCTTCTCCAGGGAGGACTGAGTAGGAACGTCACAACCCACAAGCACCTGAAGGAAAGGAATACAATATGTCCTGTTATCCCTTTCTGTGTCCTTTGATCAGGATGGGTGTCGGGGACATATCTAGGGGTCAGTCTGTCTCTCAGTTGAACAGATAGTGAACTGGAAATTAAACAGGCCATTACCCAAGATGTGGAGGTGTCTTTGTGAAAGGAACTGGACGATGGCTGAGTTGGACTTGGGGTACCACACCTTCCTGCCTGAAAGCAGGCTGTGTTAGCTACTTTTGTGTCACTGTGGCCTGACATGGGGAACAATGTTCAGAAGGAAATATTTTATTTTATTTTGTGGTTCCAGAAGGTTTTAGTCCATCATAATAGGGAAGGCATGGTAGAGTTTCTGGCATTGGGAGCCTTTGGTAGAGGCTGTTCATGTCAAAGCTGTTAAGAAGCAGAGACAGCAATGACAATCAGGTATAACCTTCCAAGCCCCCAACTTCTGGAAGTCAGCCACTTCTGCTGGATGGGCTCATACACCCAAAGTTTCCAAGACATCTCAAAACCATGCCACCCGTGGGGGAAAAAGAGTTGAGAATGTGAGCTTCTGGGGTGGATGTCAGATTCAGCTATGACGTGTGTGACCCACAAGGCCCCTGCCATTGTTGGGAAGCCTGGCTGGGGAGCTATTTGGGGAGTTATCTGTGCTAACTTAACCAGATTGGCTATGAATTGCCGCTTGAGCCTCCTGACGGGGCTTAGCAATGGCATGTACTGAGGACCTTTGGCAGTCTGCTGTTCTTTCAGGAATGGTTCCTTCCTTAAAGCAGTGTGGGCAAGTCTGTCTTCCTCAACAAGACACTCAGTTTTTCTGACCTTCAGATTGTCCTTGTCATCTGAGTTTTCAAACCATGTCCTTCCTTCCCATGGGATATGGGTAGATGTGATCCAGTGACCCATCAGCCTCCAGGGTTTTAGTCACCATCCTGGACAGAGCCACCCGAGTCAACTCCATGGACAGTACAGACTCATTTCAATGACTGGCCATCCCCAGCCTGTCTCTCTGGAGAGCTGCCAGAGCTAAAGCAGTTGTTCAGTACCCCACAGCTGCAGGCTCTGCTGGGTGGAGCTGTCTAAATATTGCCCTGTGCCCGTTTGTTCCCTCAGATTTCGTCCCAGACAGACAGCCTGGTGCTGCTTCCAAAATAATGTTTTCCATGTGGCTGTCAGACCTGGCGGTGCCGTATAGGGGATCAGCATTAAAATCCATCCTTCAAAGCAAGGGCAGTCTCACCCATCTGCCCGTGCTGCTGAGCGCTAAACATGCCCCAACAGTCCTGCACTCAAATGTTGATGTCCCCAAATAGGAAAAGTGATCAGTTGCTGCACATAAAATTAATGGGATAGTGAAAATGCCTGGTGGTTAAAATAATAATGCATAATAGCCAGATTGCTTCCTGGGCAGGGCTGGATCACAGGGAGGTGAGCTCACCCTCTGGCATACAGTTCCCACTCGATGAATGGCTCACCGCCCTAGCATTTTCATGTATATGTTCATAGAGACATTTCATATTTCATTCCTCCACAAGTGGGTTTTCCTCAGCCTGTATCTCCTTTGGTTCTCTTTTCCATTTTGCTGAATCTTTTTGTTCTTTAAAAAATATCAGTTCCTTGATAATTTGTACAGTATGTTTTGATCATATTCACCACCACCCTGAACTCCTTCCAGATCTGCTAGCCTTCCCTACCAACCTAAATTTATGTGCTCCTTAAAAAAAAACAAAAAACCAAAACAAAACAAAAAAAACCTATCAAGTCCAATCAATGCTACACGTATATTCTTGGATGTACAGTCTTTCACTGGAACATGGTCTACTTTCCAGGGGACACCCTCTTAAAGAAAACTGACCCCATCTTTCCCTGAATCTATCCATTTCCACTCAGCTAGGAGTGAGATTTTGTCCCCACTTCCCCTCTCTATGCTGGAGATTTAGTCTGTCTTGAATTTACACAGATTCTGTGCTTGCTGGTACAGCTGCTCTGGGTTCATATAATCAACTGCTCTGCTGTGTCTAGAAAGCACTGTTTCCTGGTAACCATCCACGACCTCTGGATCTTAAAATCTTCCTTCTCTTTTGCAACCATCCCTGAGTCTTGGGAGGAAGGGGTGTGATATAGTTTTCCCCTTTAGGGCTGAGATAATGTCTTCCTCTCTCTGTGTTAGGCAGTTGAAGGCCTCTGTGTTCATTGCTCTTTACAAATAGTAAGAAATTTAGCTTCTCTGATTAAGAGTTGACAGATAATGCATCAGCTTATGGATATTGTGGTAAGCCATTGGGAGTCTTGTTTAATACTATGTTCATTTAACAGAATAATAGCCGAAAGTTCTCTCCTAGGGTCTGTGACCTGTTAACTCATAAGCTCTTAGACCAATAATAGTACCAGGTCTGCGTTTCATCTTGTGGAGCGGAGCTAAAGTCTGTCCGGCTCGTGCCGTTATTACAGCAGTGGGCATGTCTTGTCGGAGAAGTCATTAGTGTCACTTAAGGGTCACAGCTTGGCAAGATGGGTGCTGCATTTTCTCCTCTGGTAGCACGCTGGCACTTTCCAGCACTAGCACAGTTAGCCAGTAGGAATGAAGCTTGCAGATCAGTACCAGCATGGTATTTCCGTGTTCTATGACTCAAGTATCTTTAGCAATATGTGTGTGTATGTGTGTGCATGTGTGCCCCCCTCAGGTTTTCAGGTGACTTTTTGAGAGGTCCTCGGAGTTATTTATCTGTCCCTGTGCTCCCTGTTCCTCTACCCTGCCCTTCCATCCTCTATACCTCTTGTTCAATCAATCTTCTTTTAGCCTTTATACCACGGATCATTTCTGTATTTTGTTATTGTTCCTTTGAGAAGAGCATTTCTGGGAAAATATCACTGTGCTTGGGCAGACTAGCAGAATCTACTTGTCCTGGTGTCCCTGTGAGTTCCTTGCAGGTGAAATCAATGCCATGATCCTGTTTAACCCTAGTATGATATTTACTGAGTCAGTGCTTAACAACCACACAAGTACATGGAAGAAGAATTAAAGAATATGGGGCCACCAGCACCCTCTGTGTTCTCCTCCTTACTGTAGGTAGAATAGGGCTTGCTGCTCTCACACACTACGGGGATATAGTAAGCATGCTTTCTCATTTGTCTGTTTCCTCTTGCTTTTTTTTTTCAGACGTTCTCTGCCCTAGTGTTCGGGTAGAAGGAGACCGCTTTAAACACACCAATGGAGGAAGCAAGGAAATCACAAGTAAGAGTGACTCCAATAGGCAGGATTGCTTTTGTGTACAGCATGCACACCTCAGGGTGTCCTTCCTGGCTCTTCCCTCCTTCTCTTCTGTCACCAGTGTCCTGGTGGAATGATTAGAACTGTGCAGGTGGCGGTAATCTCCCAATACGGAGGAGCATCTGTTTTCCTTTTGGTGGGTTGGAGCCTTCCTGAAAATTTTATTACACCAAGTATAACAGGTGTTGGTGAATAAGCAAGCAAATAATAGCAAATTGAGTGAATGGATAAATAAAGACACTTCAGAGAGAAAGGGGGTTGGATCAGCATTATAAATGGATGAGGAACTCAGCAGGTGGGAGAGCAGATGTGTGACTAAAGACTTAAGGCAGAGAGAAGCCATTAAAAGGACTGCCATCTCCAACAACGCCAGGCAGACAGGCCATGGCAGATTGTGGAGTATGGGGAGTTGATGTACCCATTGCTCACTGTGTTGTGTGATAATTAATTCTCCTGTTGTCAAAAATCCCACTTAGCACTTTGAGTGTGTGGACTGTTTGCTTCTCCTCGGTTTTCCTCACCAGTGTCTGCCCCCTGGCTCCGGGTCCTTTTCTCCATCTGCCCTCCTCCATCTTCCTCAGTTCCAATTTCTGTCATGTGTATAGCTCCCACTTTGGGCAGCCAGCACCTGAGGTCAGGACTGGGTATGGGTCAGACACGTCCAGTCCTAGGAAGCCTGTTCTATCCTTGTGCCCCTATGGACTGCAGCAATGCAACATCTGTAACTTATAAGACTCGAGATTTTTCTAGTAGAAGGCTACTATACCTGTGTGCTCAACACGAACAACATGCAAGGTAGCTGATTCTCCTTGAAGCAACTCCCACCATGATGCTGCAGGGTCAGGTCAGTGCCATATTCCCTGGCCTGGCTTATAGGTCCACAGCAGACCCTGGCTCCCAGAGTTTCCCTGGAGGATCTAGTGTGGTAACCTGCCGAGTAACTGGCTTCATGCCTTAGACGCCTTTGCTCCATCTTGCCCATCAGGCAGCTCCAGTTACACTTTTGTAACTCCAGCTGGGACTTTTGGAGGAAGCCACAGCAGACAGAGATGTCCCTCTGTTCTTGCTGATTAGGCCTGTGAAGCACCCCTTGGATACTCAAGGGGTGCTGTCATTGTCACAGCTGCTTTGTCCGACTCACAAGATGCAGGTGACTTTTACTGTTTCCCTTTGACAACCCAGGTGCTTTGAAGTCCGCGTGTTTGTACCTGAGCCTCTCTGCCCAGAGTGGGAAACTATTACACAGTTTGAAATTAGATGTGTCCACTTTGTCCCTCGGTGATTCCCCAGCGATGCTGTCAGACAATCCTGCAAGGGGAATGTGCCTACTCAGTTCTATGCCGGACGTCTCCCTTTGTAGTCCTTTCCAAAGCCCATTCGTACCTGGTTGCTTTGTCTGCATTTGGCTTTGCGAGCCACATGCTTTGAGAACAGCATCTCCCAGGTAATTAATTATTCAAGAAGTATTGGGACATATATTTTAGATCAGCCCGCCACTTGCCAGCTAGGTGACTGTAGATCAAATTCCTAATTTCTTTGAACCTTAAGTTTTTCCACTGTACAAAAGGGGGTCTGAAGAGCGGCTCTGAGAGTCCTCAGTTCTAATAACTTCAGTGCCGGTGCCATGCAGCCTACCTGAACAGTGGCCAGGGTCTCCCTTTATATGGTCAGCTGAGTTGTGGTGAGGCCCTGCATTCAAGGACTGCTGGCTTATCTCAGGATGTCTGTTCTTGTAGTCAGTTTATCACCTCAGAGCTTTCCAGTTACCTCAGTTTCCTCCCAGCCCTTATTTATTTCAGGCAAATTGATCCCTGTTAGTTTTCAAGCCTGGGACTTTTTCCATGTTTCTTTTTCCTTTATGCATCTCTCTCTCTCTCTCTCTCTCTCTCTCTCTCTCTCTCTCTCTCTCT